TTCCAGAGACAGTTGTAAGCAATGTGTAACTACCTCGAGGGTGCTTGACCATTTTAACACAACGTGGTGCGATCATCCCCCTTGCACGGAGTGAGGGTTCTCCACCCCGCATAACATGATCTACTCGACCAACATTATGGTTACCGCCAAAAAAAAAAACGGAGGTAAAAAAAAATACCGGTAACCTGGTTGCCGAGTTCACGAAGTGAATTGGCTTGTTTTACACCGTCGTTGCCAAGCGACGAAACCCAATTCCGATGGCAAACACCGAGGGGTCGCTTGGCGGGTTGTTTTTGATGATCATGTTCGTGGACAGCTTCTCGCGGTGGATGAAGCTGTACGGGATGAGGCGCAAGGCGGACACCCTCGCCTTCGTCAAGAAGTTCCTCGCCGACATGAGTGGCACCGGTGTTCCTCGCTCTTTCCGGATGGACAACAGGGGGGAGTTCGTCAGCCACGACTTCATCGCCTTCTGCGACAACGCCAGCATCCGCCGCACGTACACAGCGCCGGGCACCCCGCGGCAGAATGGTTCGGCGGAGAGTGCGATCTGGCGCGTGAACAAGGAGGGCCACACCGCTCGTCTCGAGGCACGCCGCCTGTTCCCGAAGATCGACTTCACCCGCATCACTGGCTTCGGGCGCGATGGCGAGCGCCTTTGGCTAGAGTCGTGTCACTGGGCTGCCGGCGGCCTCAACCGTTCCCCAACCGAGGCAAACGTCGGGTACAAGTCGCCGCACGAGCTCTTCACCGGTCGCCCGCCACCGCTCCAGATCGTCCCGTTCTTGCAGCCGGGGTATATGCGTGTGACGCGCGCGAGGAAGATGGATCCCCAGGCAGTGCTGTGCTGCTACCTCAACAACGGCGACAACCATCACGAGTCGGCGGTCAAGGTCCTCAAGTTTGCGACGGGGCGCGTGTGCATGACAAACAACGTGTTAAGGGTCTCCGACCGCGCGCCGATGCGGCCCCCGCCGCTGGAGCTGCCGGCGCCGGCGGGCGAAGGGGGGGGTTTTGGATGTCGCCGCCGCACCGTTTCTAATTGAGTACATTACACCGCCTCTCTTAACCCCTTCACCGTTCGCCCGATATCCCATTTCACCCGCTGCCATATCCTCACAGGCGCCGCCGGCAACTTCCACACCACCATCGCCGACGGCGCCGCACTCTACCGCAGCCACGCCACCGTTCACCACAACCGCGCCGCCTGCAACGCCGTTCGCCGCTGCGCCACCGTTCGCCACCACCGCGCCGCCTGCCACGCCGTTCGTCGCCGCGCCACCGTTCACCACTGCCGCTGCGCCGCCGGCTGCACCGTTCACCACCGCCGCTGCACCGTCAGCAACACCGTTCCCCGCCGCCGCACCGTCCAGTGCCGCGCCATCGACCAACGTGCCGCCGCTCAGCGCGAGGACCATCCGTGAACTGGACGTGGGGCACGGGGACACGAGGGTTTCTGGGCACACAAGGGCAGCCGCTAAGGACCAGCGGGGGGGGCGGGCGTCGTCAATGACGCCCCTCCCTGCCAGGGCCAATCGAGAGCTGGACTTGGGACGAGAGACGCGGGTGCCAGGGAGGTTGAGGAGTCGGGGGGTACGTTTCCAGGATGGGGGGGCCGAGCGGTCGACGTCACCTGGCGCGAGCGGCGACGCTCCCGCCCACCGCTTCGGGCTTGTATTCCTGCAGGACAAGGCAACGCTCCTGTAGACTCCCACCGCTCGTAGCGTCGTCGATGGGGGGAGAAAGGAGATTCCGAGTTCAGCCGAAGGACGTGATGGAGCCGAGCCGGGGGGGCGAGAGCGGGGGGGCACGAAAACAGAAGGACTGCGTGAAGACGTCCCATTTTCGTGCTCCACCTTGCTTGCCTCCCGCGAGGACAATGATCGCGCGATGAAGGATTTAGATCCCCCGAAAGTGGCACCGGACTTGCCACACTGCTATGCAAGCGATCTAGGAGTTCCGAAGACGTTAAGGGAGGCCATGAATTCTGAATTTGGACACTTGTGGAATGATTCAGTCGATCGCGAGTTTAAGGGCCTGATGGAGGCCGGCACTTTCTAGTCAGTTTCTTAGCAACCAGGGAGCGTTATCAAGGCCAAATGGGTTTTTGAGTGGAAGGCTGATGAGTATGGATGGCCAACCACAATGAAATCAAGGCCAGTAGCGAGAGGCGATATGCAGCAACAACATGTTGATTGTGGGGAAACGTATACACCGACTGTAGCGGTTTCTAGTGTTCGTCTGTAAGCTGCGATGGCGTGTGAGCAAAATCTTCCTTCCTTTATTTTGACATCAAGCAAGCATTTGTCCAGTCGGATTTGGATGAGGATGTTTTCATGCGTGTGCCAGAGGGCTGTGGTAGCCTGTGTGGTAAGGTAGTGAGGTTGAACAAGAGTTTGTACGGTCTGAAGCAGGCGTTCAGACAATGACATTCGCACTTGGGGAAGTGTTTGATTTGTTTGGGTATTATTCAGTGCATGGCGGATACGTGTGTGTTTCGGTTGATTGAGGAGGGAAGTGTGGTAGTGACTCTGGTGGTACATGTGGATGATACATGTTCGATAGGAGAGGAGGAGAGGTGTGACCAGTTTGGCAGAGATCTCAACACCATGGTACCGGTGAAGAATCTTGGGGACTTGAAATGGTATTCAGGGTGCTTTTATGGGAGAGATTGGGAGGCAGGAACATTGAAGATCTCGCAGCAGACGTACGCCGAAGAGTTGGGGTTGGCGTTCGGACTAGGGTACGGGAAAGAGATACCTCTTCCGGTAGGGATGAAGCTTTCTGAGTTTGATCAAGATGAAGAAGCAGTGCCGTGGCCTTTTCGTGAGCTGATATGGTCGTTGATGTGGCTTGCAACTCAAACGAGGCCAGACATTGCGAATGCTGAGCGGTGGCTAGGTATGGTGCATCTCTCAAAAACATTTATTGGAGAGCAGGTCTTGGTATCTTTGGGTATGTGGTAAGGACTAGTGACTTGGGTATTACATTTCGTAGGGGCAGTGTAGAAGGGTTGATCATGCAGGTTTTTGCAGATGCAGACAACGGGAATAAGGCAGCTGATAAAAGGTCAATGTCAGGGGGTTTGGTGATGTGTGGAGGGGGGTGTATTTCTTGATTCTCGAGGACGCAGAAGAGTGTGACGTTGAGCACTACAGAGGCAGAGTATGTCTCTCTTGCGAATGTGCGGAAAGAGGTGTTTTTCCCGAGGCAGGTGTGGCGTTTTATGTTGCCAGATGCGGGTATGCCGTGCATCCATATGAGGATAACGGGGGGGGTATTCAGTTGGCACAGAATCCGATTAGCAACAGCAACTCCAAGCACATTGACGTAAGACACCACTTGATCAGGGAGCGCGTAGGGAGGAAGGAGATCTCGATTTTCCACGTAGAGTGAGCGTACCAACGTGCCGACTTTCTCACAAAGGCGCTCCACGTGGGAGATTTTGAGTTTCATCGTAATTTCGTGATGAGTATGGGACAGGAACGGTAGATTTGGATTTGTTTTTTTTTATCAAACAACTAGGGTGGCATTGTTTTACATTTTTGCCTATGTTTTTTTCAATGAATGATGTTCTAGGCTGGTGGGCTATTGGATCGCTATGATTATCGAAGAACCACAACTGGAATGATCGAGGATGGGAATATATTTCTGGCCCAGAAGGCTATCGTTGCAGATTTGCGTTGTGTTTTGGAGTTTACTTTCTTGTGTTTTGGAGTTACTGAAAGATAATGAAGACATGGCATTGTCACAAGCAGCGGGGCTGGTAGAAATACTTGTAGCAATGCCAAGTGGTTGGTATGGGATGTTCCCATGGAATGAAGTAGAGCGGAATACCGGGTGACATGTGTGGTATGTAGAATGGATTTCCAGGGATGTACAACGTACCCCTGTTGTATACGGCGTCGCCCCCTCAACGGGGCTTGTGTGTGCGTATGTGGATGCAACAAATCACAACAAGTTTTTCTCCTCGGCGCGAGCCCGCCGAGTTGCCGACACCCTACTCAATACACCTCTTGCGACAAGCTACCCCCAGTTCGGATTATCCCAACATTGGGTGGAATAGGAGAACTTCCTCTGACATTGTTTTTCAAGATGTGTCAAGGTCGGCCGTGAAGAACAGAGAGGAATACCAACTATATTACGGTACGTTTTAACGCTTGGCATTGCGCCAACACATTGGTTTCTGCTGAACCGAGAGGTGCATCCGCCCGTGTACAAGGCTGCGAGCGTATTTCGAAGGAACGCGTGTTCTGATTGGGGATCGAGTTGTGATTGGTTCCTCCTGGGGTGTGTGGCGAAACAAATGACAAAGAGAGATAAGAACTCGGGCAGGTGAGGATGCGTGATAGTCGACGCCCTCTGCCGCCCGCATCCGGATGTGCTCCATCAGTTTATTCACGAATCCAACACACTCGCCCCTGGACATGATTTCAAGCCGTTGACACAAAATGGTCATTATCGGAAGAGTACCTGACAGTTGTTTGTGCCACATCAGCGAAGCGTTAGAATGAAAACAAACATTTTCTGGAAAACAGCTTCAAAGGAGTTGAATACCAAATTATCAAACAAAACAAGAATCAACTTCTTGACCAATCAGAACGAGAATTCGAAAAGCAAAATAGTCCCAACCATTAATCGTCAAAGCACGTCAAACCCTTCCTCCAACATTGTGTCCAAGGACCAATCTCTATTCAGCGCGCGCCCGCAAATCGGTGCCATCGCTGTTGTCTAAGAAACGGTAGAAAACAAAGCAAAACCACCCATGCAAACAACCCCCCTGCTGTGACATCCCAAGAAACTATCATCCCAACGTTATATCTTTGCGCCAACAGCCCGCCGGCTGAGACATACCCCAAAACATAGGAAAACAACAAGTTATCAAATGCTCTTCATGCACTCCATAATCAATCATGGTCACACATGGCACACCCTTCCATGATTGCAGATGAATGCACAGCAAGAAAGACAAAACAAACTCTGCTACTGCAAAAATCAAACAAAACAAACTAACGCAGTAACGCAAAAACCTCACAGCAAATAACAAAAAAAATAAATCGAAAACGACCAACAAGGAAGCGTTCCTTGCTGTTCATCACAAATCACGGTGAAAGCAGAATGCCGCCCTGTGCAGTGGTTTGGTCATAGGCTCGACGTTTTGTAAAGCCAATGCAACGTGGGCCACCTTCAACTGCTTGCGTGCCACCCGCTCCCGAATAAAAAATAAAACGGTGTCGGATGTCTATGTGCTAGAGTTCGGGAAGGTGATTGGGTTGTTGGCCAAATGAAGGGCCCCCATGTTGTTCTCGTGAATTCTAGTGCACCCGACGCGCTCATCCTGAAAGATAAAACTCCAAAGAAAGCACAAGAAATAACTTCCCTTGAAACCGTCGCCAATCGCAACATACTCGGCTTCGGTCGAAGAAAGTGTAACACTCTCCTGAGCCCGCGACAAAATCGGGGCACACGGACCCGCACACACCACAAGCGCACCAGAAACCGACCGCCGGTCCGTCGCGTTGCTCTCGTAATCGGGTCAACGAACATGCCGTTGGGCGTGAATTTCCGCCGAAACGAAGAGCGTGCGGGTCGCCGACCGGTGCTGCCGTCCGCCAGACACCATTCCCGAGGTCTTGCTCAACGTGGTGGCTACGCACAAGAGTCTCCAAGTCCGTGCGTGTGAGCGATCGATCAGCAGCTGCTTGAGCTGGTCGTAATCGGCCGAGAGGTTTCTGCGAAGCATCGCAAGGACCTCTCTGAATGTGAAGTCATCGCCGTTGACGGCGCAGATTGAACACAGCGCTTTGTTAAGCCGAAGAAAGCAGTCCCTCTGTTCCTCTCCGATCTGCATCTTCATGTCGGTGAGAGAAAGCTTCATGGCCTCCTTCTCGGAGTCATTTATCGGGAGGCAGAATCTTGGGCAGCCTCCCAGGCCCCTTACACAGTCCCAACTTCCAGGATTGTTGCCTGAAAGTTTGTCCCCTTCGTGGCGCGCATCAGGTTCTAATAAGCACACCCATGGTCACGCACCGGACGCTCACCGTGAAAGTGGATATTTTCGTTCCTTGACGTGTGGATGAGCCAGATGCGGTGATTAGGGCTCGCCGACTTCACGAGTGTGTGTGCAAAATCTTCACGGGCGAGGAAGACCTCGAACACCGTCTTGAACAGCGGGAAGGTGGCGTCGTACACCGGTGGCTTTCGGTCCTTACGCTGTACTCGATCATCCTGAAAAAAAATCGCCCCTTCCCCGGCTCCAAAAGTAGCCGCCCCCCCCACGGCTCCATCCATCCCCATAATACCCAGGCGCATAACCGGCACCATTCATTCTCATACTACCTGCCGTATAGCCAGCATCACCCACTCATTCTCTCGCGGCTTCCTCCGCTGAACTTCTATCTTCTCCGTCATCGACTCTCCTCTGGAACTCTGCTATCTTGGATGCCGCTTCCCCAGCTGCTCTCTCAGTGTTCTCCATCTTTGTTCCAACTCCTTCTTTCTTTCCGTCATCGCCGAACCAACACCTGGCCTACCTAGGCTCTCGACGATCGATCATCTTCGAGGCGCTCTGCCGCCCTCAGCGGCTGGTGGTGTCGAGACTGCGTACAATGTTATCCCAGGAACAGCAGATGAAAAAAAGGATAATGTATTACTGACCGACACACAAGACCCACAGACAGGTTGAGCTCGTGGACCCTTTCGCTCTCTCGCACCAGGGGTCTTCTCCCAACCCCCATATACATCATACCCATGCATGTAACCCCCATCAGGCGCATACGGCGCATGTAGATCGGACACATATCCAAAGTACTACAAACACGTGGTGTAGCCGCGTTGTTAGTCTGTAGCAGTTTCGTTCAAGGCTAGCCCTTCGCATGGACAGACCCCTCTTGGGCACAGAAAACAGCCAACCTGCAGAATGGGATACCGCCTGTCCCCCCTTGAGTGTGTCCTCCCAAAGCTCAATCGGGTTAGATGCCGTCGCTTTTCGGCATCATCTATTCCTCCATGATCGTCTTCCTGACATCGACCGCTTCGCGTTTTGTAGATATAACGCCACGATGCGTTTGATGGGTTTTTTAAGCGGTAGTGTTATATACGACACCGGTGTCGTACTTCCTTATATACGACACCTACCATTTCTTGGCCCCCAGAGCTCCAATCGGCGTACAACAAAATGCGCTGTGTAGCCACGGCCCGCAGCTATCAGCCCATACCATTTTGGGTCAAATCGGCCAAGTGGTTGAAGAGATATCTTAGAAAAAGGGGGCTCAGCAGCATCGCAGGGTTAGGTTCTACCACAAATACGACTGTAACTCCGCCCCCAGAGCTCCAATCGGCGTACAACAAAATGCGCTGTGTAGCCACGGCCCGCAGCTATCAGCCCATACCATTTTGGGTCAAATCGGCCAAGTGGTTGAAGAGATATCTTAGAAAAAGGGGGCTCAGCAGCATCGCAGGGTTAGGTTCTACCACAAATACGACTGTAACTCCGCCCCCAGAGCTCCAATCGGCGTACAACAAAATGCGCTGTGTAGCCACGGCCCGCAGCTATCAGCCCATACCATTTTGGGTCAAATCGGCCAAGTGGTTGAAGAGATATCTTAGAAAAAGGGGGCTCAGCAGCATCGCAGGGTTAGGTTCTACCACAAATACGACTGTAACTCCGCCCCCAGAGCTCCAATCGGCGTACAACAAAATGCGCTGTGTAGCCACGGCCCGCAGCTATCAGCCCATACCATTTTGGGTCAAATCGGCCAAGTGGTTGAAGAGATATCTTAGAAAAAGGGGGCTCAGCAGCATCGCAGGGTTAGGTTCTACCACAAATACGACTGTAACTCCGCCCCCAGAGCTCCAATCGGCGTACAACAAAATGCGCTGTGTAGCCACGGCCCGCAGCTATCAGCCCATACCATTTTGGGTCAAATCGGCCAAGTGGTTGAAGAGATATCTTAGAAAAAGGGGGCTCAGCAGCATCGCAGGGTTAGGTTCTACCACAAATACGACTGTAACTCCGCCCCCAGAGCTCCAATCGGCGTACAACAAAATGCGCTGTGTAGCCACGGCCCGCAGCTATCAGCCCATACCATTTTGGGTCAAATCGGCCAAGTGGTTGAAGAGATATCTTAGAAAAAGGGGGCTCAGCAGCATCGCAGGGTTAGGTTCTACCACAAATACGACTGTAACTCCGCCCCCAGAGCTCCAATCGGCGTACAACAAAATGCGCTGTGTAGCCACGGCCCGCAGCTATCAGCCCATACCATTTTGGGTCAAATCGGCCAAGTGGTTGCGGAGAAAGAGCCGAAAATAGGGGGCTCCGCAACTTACCGGGGGGGTGTCAGCGACGTTCCGGTCATAACTCCTTGCACAGACATCGCCTGATCGCACGTAAACTCGCGATGAGTAGGTACAGGCCAGAGCTATCGTTCAAGCCGCTGTGGGGCGAAATCCACCCAGTCAGTGCCATGGTACGCCTACACCCGGCTGGACGGTGTCCCCAAGGGCGGTGTCGTAGATAAGCTTATATACGACACCGCCCGTTTCTCGCCACACACGGCGCGGATGGACATCAGACCACGTGCACTACATTGGTACAGCCCATAGCTATCGTTCAAGCCGCTGTGGGGCGAAATCCACCCAGTCAGTGCCATGGTACGCCTACACCCGGCTGGACGGTGTCCCCAAGGGCGGTGTCGTAGATAAGCTTATATACGACACCGCCCGTTTCTCGCCACACACGGCGCCGATGGACACCACACCACGTGCACTACATTGGTATGGCCCATAGCTACTGTTCAAGTGGCGGTAGAGGTCTGTGTCCATTGGTAGTGGTTTATAAGTAAAGAATTGATCGACAAAGGGGCACCGCAGTTCACACTGTGCGTAGTTGTTGTTCCGTTTGAGTTGCCTGTTGAGCATACCTCAGAAACGAAAACACGAAGAAAACACCACACGGCGTATTCGGTGCCCCCCGCCACGTTTCCGATGTACGCAGCCGCACTGGTATAGTATTTTCGAGACAAGGTGGATTTACATATATCGTAAAATCATCTGAACTACGTTACTATGTACATTCATGACGCGAACGAGGGGGGGGCCGTCACTGAAAAATTCAAATAGAAGTGTAGGGGTCCGCGGCACCAGGTACGCAGAGGTTCGCGCCTGCGCCTACTCGCATCCCGACAGGAACGCCCCCACGCGGACCACGTGGACGCCCACAAACACGCAAACATCAGTTAAAATGCCTGCGAGGTCGAGCTTACTCGACACGAGGACGGCCAATCCTCACTACGCGGCATTGGCTCAAGTGCGGGAGCACCTCGCACCAACACTGCAGAGAGTCAAGGGGAGCTCGCACGGCCTAGCGGTTGATGACCGTGCGCTGAAGGAGGCAAAGGATCAGGTGGCGAAGGTTAGAGATCCAATTCTCACGCACCCTCTCCCCCCATCGTCCCAGGTGTGTCATGCAGAACCGGTTCCAACACTACGCTGCTGTGCTGCTGTGATCATGCTGATTGTCCCGCGTTTTGCAGTGGAGAATTCCTCCGCAATTGCCGCAAATCTGCCACAAATCCGAGGTACCGAGGTACAAAAATTCTCAGCGAATTCTTGAATTATTGCACCGATAAGGAAGGATAGAGTGTGGCGGATTTCTTGCGGCGCGGCACTCCCGACAGCCGCACTGGCGTCGTAGCAGGCAATGTAGACAAGATATCTTGGGTTAGGACAGATTGCGATTGCATGTCGCCGATGCCTACTGTTGCCGTTGTATGTACTGCCTCTGTAGTTGAAGAATGCTTCCTCGGTACTTCCTCCCTCTCTTCCGTTTACGTGGGGGTAAGTGTGAGAAGGACCCACCGGTACTGACACTATGTTTTACCCCGTGAGGGTGAAATGACCTGGGATGTTTGTTTGCCGAAGTTGCCGAAAGGTTAGCGAATTTGCGCGCCAATCGTACAGTGTTGGAAGCCGCTGAGCCACTCACGCTGGCACTCACAACGTTGTGTCGGCGCAAACCGTTCTACCCCTTAGTCCGATTACCTTTCTGATTTCTGTCACCATTCGTGTGCGGTTCATTTAGTTCACCTAGCCTGATGCGTCCCTGATGTGCGCTTCTATACCGCCGTGGATTGTGTCGCGCAGACAAGAGCGGAGCTAGTCGCGAAAGGTCTCGACGAGGACATGTACACGGCAGCCCTTATGCAGGGGACACACCCAGAAGACGGCGGAGGCACCGGCACACCGTTCATCACGCTAGGTGACGGCAACTGCCTGTTGAACGCGGTTGCGCTGCAGTATGTGAGGGCGGAGGGGCGGGCGGTAAGGGCCGCCGTCCCACAGTTGGCCGCGAAGCTGCGGCTGAGCGTCGTCCTTGAAGGGCTTCGGCACATGGAGGCATATTTGTCCCTTCAGGAGGATATCTTCTGCTGCTGGGACAACTACACTGGTGATGTTTACGACAGACTCACCGCTGCCGGGTGGTGTGTTGAGCCCGACACGATAGACAAAGCCCGTGTTGGTTCGCGTGAGACCGCGCGGCTGTTCTTCGTTGCACAGCTACACAACATAGCCGTCAAGGGACAATGGCTCCAGCAGTTCGTGCTGCCAATCCTGGCAACGGTCATCCAGGCGCCGATCCATGTCTTTGTTCCATGTAAGTGCGTGTTCAGTTTGCGGCCGAAGTTAANGATCCGCGTGAGACCGCGCGGCTGTTCTTCGTTGCACAGCTACACAACATAGCCGTCAAGGGACAATGGCTCCAGCAGTTCGTGCTGCCAATCCTGGCAACGGTTATCCAGGCGCCGATCCGTGTCTTTGTTCCATGTAAGTGCGTGTTCAGTTTGCGGCCGAAGTTAACGTATGAAGTCCAGATAAGGTCTCAAGCTGTCGAGAGAAAAACGCAAAGAGAAAATCTTGTGCGGCGTTTCGTACGCGTTCCGCGGCAGTGTAGACCCGATTTTGGGCTAGTTTGGGGACCGTTGCGGGTTGGATGCGTGCGTCACGAGGCGTTGTGTGACGGTTTACGCCTCTCGTCGGACAGACTGTCGACGTTTTAACGGCCGCTACCACGAGATGAGCCAAGCGGGCCGTGTACGAAATCTGCAGCGCTGATTGAGCTTGACGTCTCCACTGATGATGCTTTCCACACTACTAGGGGGTATGG